TGAACAACACGCTTTATTAAACAGTCGCCCCCTGCTGGACAAATGAACGAACAACACGCTTTATTAAAGAGTCGCCCCCTGCTGGACAAATGAATGAACAACACGCTTTATTAAAGAGGCATCGGACGTTATTACTGACGTTAAAGGCTCCAGAAACGTTTATGAAATCTCCACACTCCACAGCAACCAAAAAGAATCAGATCCACCGAAAATGTAACGCCTAAGATCCAATAATTTTATTTTGGTAACTCATTTGGAAGTAATACTGAGCAATTTTATTTATTCTTTCAATTTTGTTTGCTACTTTTCGTTTTAATTACCATTTAATTTTCACTTGAAAAAATAATTAAATTTGTACGCATACTTTATGATTGTCTATTGTTGTCTTTGATGTTCACTGTTGTCATCACTCTATTAAAATCAGGTGTCTCTTGTAAATGAGTCCCTGAGACTCAATGAGATTAACCTGTATAAATAAAGCTTGAATTAATTTCTTTATTTACTTTCTTATGTTTACAGTCACAAGTTAAATTTCTCTTTTATCTATTAATGCAAGGAGACTAAGAAACCTCACAAGAAGGAAAAGTACAAACCAGATTCCAAAAAAGTTGGGACACTAAACAAATTGTGAATAAAAACTGAATGCAATGATGTGGAGATGGCAAATGTCAATATTTTATTCGTAATATAACAGATGACAGATCAAAAGTTTAATCTGAGTAAATGTAACATTTTAAAGGAAAAATATGTTGATTCAAAATTTCACAGTGTCAACAAATGCCAAAAAAGTTGGGACAAGTAGCAATAAGTGGCTGGAAAATGGAAATTGAGCATATAACGAACAGCTGGAAGAACAATTAACACTAATTAGTTCAATTGACAACAGATTGGGTATAAAAAGAGCTTCTCAGAGTGTCAGTGTCTCTCAGAAGCCAAGATGGTAAGAGGATCACCAATTCCACCATTGTTGTGCAGAAAGATAGTGCAGCAATACTAGAATGGTGTTACCCAGCGTAAAATAGCAAAGACTTTTAAGTTATCATCATCAACCGTGCATAACATCATCAAAACATTCAGAGAATATGGAACAATCGTTGTGCGTAAGGGTCAAGGCCATAAAACTCTACTGGATGCTCGTGATCTCCGGGCCCTTAAACGTCACTGCACCTCAAACAGGAATGCCACTGTCAAGGAAATAACAGAATGGGCTCAGGAATACTTCAGCCTACTTCAGCCTGCAGTCCAGATCTTTCACCTATAGAGAACATTTGGCGCATCATAAAGAGGAAGGAGCAACAAAGAAGGCCCAAGACGATTGAACAGTTAGAGGCCTGTATTAGACATGAATGGGAGAGCATTCCTATTTCTAAACTGGAGAAACTGGTCTCCTCTGTCCCCAGACGTCTGTTGAGTGTTGTAAGAAGAAGGGGGGATGCCACACAGTGGTAAAAATGGACTTGTCCCAACTTTTTTGGGATTTGTTGACACCATGAAATTTGGAAACAGATTTCTCTTATTGATACATTCTCAGTTTAAACTTTTGATCTGTGATTTGTGTTCTATTCTGAATAAAATATTAGATGTTGGCACCTCCACATCTTTGCATTCAGTTTTTATTCACAATTTGTTTAGTGTCCCAACTTTTCTGGAATCCGGTTTGTTTTTATGGTTACTCCCGTCAGTCACCACGAGGACAAGTTCTGCATTTACAGATGGTTTATTCCAAGATCACCAACAGGATCACCCAGCATTGCCATCGTGAGAACTAAAATAAAAAATATTTAAAAATGTAATTTCTTAAACAGTAACCAATAATTTCTTATACAGTATATTCAGTGAACTTAAAAACAATTTTAACATCATGTAATCCGCCTTACAAATAACATTGTGACCAATATAAACCCAGTATATATTAAGTTACAAACATAAAATGCTTGTTTATCATGTATACATGGAAACTCAAATTAACAGAAACCTTGAACGCACCTGCTGTACCAAACGGGAGAAATCCATGAACTCCGGAGTTTCCCTTCACTCCTCTCAACGAGCAGGTCACACGGAGTTTCCCTTCACTCCTCTCAACGAGCAGGTCACACGGAGTTTCCCTTCACTCCTCTCAACGAGCAGGTCACACGCTGAACTTGACACATTGCTTTTCGTAATCCTTGACACAAGTCCCTTAATGAGATGCAGAACACCTGCAGCAAGCATCGGCATTTCTTGCTTGTGTCACACTCAAAAGGTCCCCGTTAACTTCCGCTCCACCGAGTTCTGAACAAAATGTGTTAATTTAAAGGAGCATTACAAATATTTGTAGCAAACATACAAGGAAGAACTTTAAATGAGTTCACTGTCAGCAACATTTACTTATTATGTAAAGGGAAAAAGCACAAACACGTTCAAAGATGTTTCATTTTGGGTTCAGCAGTGGGAGACAAAGTTTATTTGGTCATGGTCAGATCAGCAGGGGTAGATGTTTTTCTTAAAAACAAATAGCAGATACACATGGGCACTGGTTCATTATGGTCATTAATATGGACAACATGAAATGTATCAAACATATATGGCTATAATAATATTAATGTAAATAAAAGGCTTTTAGAGGAGATTACTTCACATATAGAGATTCTAAAATCTACACATTCGACTGAAAATATAATAGGTGGGAACTTGAACTTGGTCAAAATGACTTTTATGATAAACATCCTTCAAGATACTCCTCAAATCATCCTAATGCTGTTTTTAATAATTTTTGTAGTGAACTCAGTCTGACTGATGCTTGGCGGCATCTCCATCCTCAGGTAGCTCAGGATGGATTAATTATAAATAATAATAATGAATGACAAATAAAGAACCTTGAATCCTTGATATTAATTCCAAGATCTCTGCAGCTCCTCTAACAGACCATTGCTTTACACAGTCAAAAATTAACAGCAATATTTTGGTTTATTTAGCCTTTAATAAAGAAAAAAAATGTTTATTTGTTTTTTCAAAGTCATATTTTCACCATGTTATTTGTACATTTATAAATGTCAGTTCCCAACTAAATGTTTAATTTACAATCTAAATATTTAGTTTACAAACAAAATACTTAACTTGCAAGTTAAATGTTTAGTTAGTAAACTAAATATTTAGTTATAAATTAAATATTTATTTTCAAAACTAAATATTTAATTTCCAAACTAAATAATTAATTTCTAATCTAAAAATTGAATTCCTAAACTAAATGCATGCGACCGTAACATGTATGTTGAACAGACAGCTGCACACTTTAAATACATCATCATAAAATACATCATCATAAAATACATCATCATGAAATACATCATCATGAAATACATCATCATGAAATACATCATCATGAAATACATCATCATGAAATACATCATCATGGGAAATAAAAGAAGAAAAACAAGAGAGAAAACAAATCTAAAATTGCACAAAATGTGATTGAATCTCATTTAAAGCATTTACAAACAAATGTGTCAATTTACACACGTACACGCGCGCGCGCACACACACACACACACACACACACACACACACACACACACACACACACACACACACACACACACACACACACAGTCATACTTTTTCAAAACTGTAAAATTGTCAGAGTAGAACAATGAATTTGTTTTGATTTGTGGTTCCCACTACACTGGCCTCCATCATTCCTTGTTGAAGAGTGTTTTTATCTGGTATTTATTCTGTAGCACAATCATTTTCATTAAAAGACATAAAGTCACCCAGAGTTCTCATATTGTGTTCAGTTTCTACTGTTTTGAATCATCTGTGCAGCCTCCATGCCACAGTTGATGCTCTCCACTGCACACCTGTAGAAGGAGGTGAGGACTGAGCTCAGACCAGTTTGTCTCAGCCGCCTGAGGAAGTGGAGTCTGATGATCTTTCTTCATCAGGCTGGTGGTGTTGTTGCTCCAGCTGAGGTTGTTGTTCAGGTTCACACCAAGGCTTATCGAGAGAGGTCATATTCAAGGCAACTGTTTCAAAGTGTTTCAGAGATTCAAGCAAACTTTGTTTCACCATCACCAGTGGGTTTCAGAACAGGATTAGTACATTTGACTTTTAAGTCAAAATTTTGCATTTGTGCTAATTTTCTAGCATTGATCTTTGACGCCGAAAGAATAACCAGTTAACGTTTTTGGTTAAATTCAACAAGTCGAACGTGGTTTTGATGCCACCATATACACGCGGTGCAGTGAATTTAATAAACCTGCTGGGGAACTGTAAATAACAATAAAAACAAAGAAGTTAGAACTCGAATTGTCATATTTCCGACAGCGGCTGTGACCTTGAACGTTTCTAGAGTCTGCGCGAGCCGGAAGTAGTAAACCTCAGCGGCCGGATGTTCCGGGAACAGACCGACGCAAGCGGAGAATCCTGGGTTTGAATCTGCTTGTATCACTAAATAAAGCACTGTTTGCTGAAGGTAAGTGAGTTTTTAAGGACCGCTATTCATGAATAAACGTATTAACTTTTAACGTGTCCGGCTTAAAGTAAATATTCTTATTTACCACGACTGCTAGCCGTTAGCCGGCTAGTAGCTCCGGTGCTATATCGGCGAATATTAGCTAACCATTTGTTGACATTCCTTTCCGTAAAAACAGCTGTATGGGCTGTGGTGGTTGGGCTGATACGTACATTTTATAACCCTGTTGATTACATTTCAACAACGGAAGAATCTCATGTGAGGTTGAAGAAACAAGCTGTAAAAACAGCTGGAACCGGGCGTTGTGGGTGCGCCTCCACCACTCTGCTCCAAACTACATCATAACACGAAGTTTCTTTATTAACAGTCTGGTTTTTATTACTCTCAGTGTCCAGACCTTCACATTAAAATCTCATATCCTCAAAATACTCTCCTAACATATAAAGCTTACAAAAATGTCTCAACTTCTTGTCCCTTCTTTTATTACAATGACATTGCCAACAAGAATGAATCATTGTTTATCTCTGAGCTACACTGTAATTAAATAAATAAATTTAAACATCCCTGAAGGAATTAAACCAACGGATTAATCAAGTTTTATCTAATCTAATATCAGTTATCTGTAGTTTGTGGTAATATATATCCATCAATTCCTTCTATTTCACCTGCTTCTCCTTTCTGGGTCACTGGTGTCCATGTCCAGCAGTCACTGTGCGAGAGATGGGGGGACACCCTGGACAGGTCTTAGTCCATCACAGGGACACCTGCACAGGTCTCCAGTTCATCACAGGGACACCCTGGACAGGTCTCCAGTCCATCACAGGGACATAGAGAAAAATGAGACACAAACAACCATTTGCTCTCTTGCTCTCACCTAGAGACAGTTTAGAGTTACCAATCAGCCTAACATGCATGTCTTTGGTCTGTGGGAGGAAACCGGAGCACCCGGAGAAAACCCTCACAGCATGGAGTGAACATGTAAACTTTACACTGAGAGACAAGGAGGCAAACTTGCAATCTTATCTCTGAGAGGAAACTGCTCTAACCACTGCTCCACTGTGCCGTCTTATGTCAAACATGTTAACTGTCGTCACAACTGATTTGTAATATATTAAACTAAATTTCTTGACACAGTCAAATTGAAACAAGTTTATTACCTCAGGCAGATAATACTGGAAAATGTAGCCCTACCCACTTGAATATGTTGCACCAAAAACATTCAGGTTTACTTGCATTCCCTGTTCCAGTCCAGAGAAACACTCACTTCCAAAATTACAAACATTCACTAGTATTCAAACCCTCAGTGACGCGGGACATCGATGCACTGCTTGTGTGATGATTTTATGTCTTTACTGGGTTTCTTTCTGGAACTTTAATCACCATTTTCTCTTTTGTCAGGGGGAAGGCGTTTGGATTGCATGTGAGGACAGGAGTCAGCTGAGCCAGCCATGGCGAACAAGGCAGAAGACGTTGAAAATAATGTGGTCAGTATGAAAGTATGCATCATTGCTCTATCTGTTTCTCCCTGTTGTTATATGCATATTGGGTAATGATTAGCCAACTGTTATAGCCTGAAATAAAACAGTTTCTGTGTCAAGGCAACAAGGACAAATCAACATACAAGACTAACACTTCATTATGAAGTTTGCAAAGACTTGAAACAGACAAGGAGATTTTTCTCTAATGGGATTAAAACAATCAAGACTATTCAAAATCTATTTTCAAGATTATTAATAGATACCCCTCCTCCCATTAACTACTGGAGGTTTCAGTTTTTTTTAAATAACAAGGTTAATGCTGTATGACAGGTGTAGGTGCCAGCTCACAGATTATCACTGATAAATATACGGAGGACAAAAACATTTGATTATTCTTCTCCGTTGTCGATCTTCAAATCTGAACAAGGGTCATGTCTTGATCTCTTGCACGCAAGCTTCTTTGAACAGGGTTTAAACTCTGAAACAAAAACCTCTGAAAACTCACATTTGATGAAGTCGGCTCAGCGGAGCATCTCTGAGAGCTACGACGAAATTTAAAAGTATATGGACACCAGAGTGGACAGATGGATGAACAGCATTACAGCCGTATTCTGGTTCACAATAAGGTCAGGTGCAGAACCTGTGGACACGTGTGCCTCAGACCAGAATGAATGATTGAATATTTAAATAACACATAGTTTTATTTAGTTTTATCCCCATAAGATCCATCTGCTTCTTTTGATTGCTCTTTTCTTCAGGGGTCACCACAGCAAACTAGACTTCCAGCGCCGACGTGAGTTGCGGCCAATCCAGTATTGTTGTTTTTTTTTTAACCTTTTTACTTTTATTTCTATTTTATATTCTTTGATATGCATACTTTACTGTGGAGCAGTGGAGATGATCTTGTTTACTCTTGGGAACAACTGCTGGTCCTCCGATTGAAGGGACGAGAGGGCGTTTTTCTCCTCGAATTTCTCCCCTGGGATTAATAAATCGTCTGTCTAACTAACTAACTAACTAACTAACTAGCTAACTAGCTAGCTAGCTAGCTATCTCACTCAAAGACTTGGCAATTGTTTTTACTCTGGATGCCCTTCCTGACACGACCACCGAGCTACCACAGCCCTGTCGGTCTGGGGAGTTGAACCGGTGACTTTCCGATCACAGACTCACCTTATCTAGTCTCTGCACCACCACTCCCCCTATCCCAGATCATCAATACTAGTGGTTATCTGCAGAGATGATATAAAAATGTGGCTGTGTCAAAATGTTTTACAAACAAAGATAAAACTGAGATTTGGGTCATTAAAAATACAATAATTAAAAAAAAAGAGGTCCAAAATATTGATTGCAATCACACACACAGATCAAACACACTCCACGGGCTTCCTGTAACTTTTAGAACTGGTTTTAAGATTAGCTTATTAGTTTTTAAAAGTCTGTATGGCCTTGCCTTCTCCAGGTATACTTCAGCTAGCCACATCATTAAAACCATCTAATGATATTAGTGATTCCTAAGACGAGTGACGAACGAGCTGACGAGGCTGATTTTAGACATTATGACTCCACGGAGCTGAACTTCTCTCCCAGCAAACCTGAAAACTGTTAACTTATTTTGCTGCTACTTTTAGTTTATTATGCTCTTGTGGTTGTGTTTTATAAAAGCACCCATTTTTTAATATAGTTTTTGGTCCGATTGCGTTTTTTTGCAATTATTTTTTGTTTATAGCACTTTGAACACATTCACTGTTAAAATATGCTACACAACTAGTAAAGAATGTTAATAATATGAAGTGTTTCACGGCTTGTTTATGGCATTATTTACTCTTCATTCTTTTTCATTGCTGTTATTTGGCCATTATTACAAACTGACATGATGTCTGACAAGGAATTATGCAATTTCACCGCAGCCCTACAAATTTAAAGCTACAAAAATCAATTAAACTTTAAACCCTTAACTACTAGAACGCTGTTTGGGCTTTCCATTTTATTGTCACTGTAAAGAAATGTTTCCTCCCCAGACAGAGTCAAAGGCCTTTTTTACTGCCAGTCTTCCTAACAACCCAAAACTTTACAGTGAACTTTGTTGTATAAAAATGATTTAATGTGTCTTTTAAATCATTATAATTATTCTGAATTATTCTAAAAATGGTGCTTACTCATCAGTGTTTACTGTTATCCAAGGAGGGCGCCCCGACGAGACAAGAGCCCTCCTAAGACCAGTGACCTGGGGATACACTGCTCATAGTTCTTAGATTGTCACTAAATGGGCAGCACAATGGATCAGTGGTTTGCACTGTCGCCTCACAGCAAGAAGGTCCTGGGTTCAGTCTCCAGTTTGGACCTGGAGTCTTTCTGAGTACAAACATGCATGTTGGGCTGCCTTCAGGCCCAGGCCGACGGTGCAGAAGAAATCTGTGATCTCAGTGGGATTGTCCTGGTTAAATAAAGGTTAATAAAAGCTTCTTTATCAATCACAAATTTATTGAGCTACTCTGCATCTCATGTGCTTTTGGGACCTAAGATGACCACGATCCTAGGACTGAGAACCACCGCAGCGTAGGACACAATGAGATCTTTTTTGTTCCAATAGTTTACATCAATATCTTGAGGTTTTTTTTCTGTGTACCTGGACAGGTTGCTTCATATTCTTACCGCCGCAGGTTTCAGCTTGCCTGGCAGTCTGACAGTTTCAGTTCACGCAGTCTTCTTGTCTCCTAATGATGACTAATGCTGGTATCTTTTCTTACTGTGGAAGTGAGTTCAGCTTCGAAAAGCAAGCATGGATGATAGATACCTTATTAATCCCATGGATGATATCACTTACAGATGTTGGTGCTGTTTGTCAGGGACACAGTTTACTCATAGTTACTCAGTCTCGCTCTCCTGAGGGTTGTAGTAATCCTGACAGCTAATTATTGAAGGTAGTATCTCAGTGGTCTCCGTTATTGTTGGCCACTCAAAATTGTTGCAAAATAGTTAAATTTTCTGTTGCAGTTTCACTGAATTACGAGTGTTTGTCACCAACTGAGCAGCAAACCATGTGGCTGCATTTTGAGCTGCGAGTTTTTAAAAGTAGCCTATTTGTGTGTTCAAATTAGCACGATTGCATTTGTGGCCGTGCACATTTTGTTGCCCTCCTCCGCCCACTGCACACCAGCCTCTGCGACTTTTTTTTACTCGCCTCGGCAGCCGCTCCTGCATTTGTTTGGATCTACTGAGGTACAATTGAGAAATGAAGACGGGTAGATTTTTGAACCAGGTTTTTAAATGTTTTTTATCTTTAGTGGGGTTTTTTTTTGTCAGAGGAGCGCCCCCTGCAGGTGTCAAATATAGCTTTTGAGTTGGGTTAGTGATGTTCATGGCAATTTTGTAACTATTTTGAGAAAAAATCTGTAACACAAATTGTTTGAACATGACTGAACTCTTCTTTGACTCAAGAAATGAAGAAACAATGAAAACGATGTGAGACGTTCGAGACTCTGCTCTGTCTCTGAACCTTTTAGATCTGTTCTGCCATCAGAACAGATCTGCTGAGCTCAGACCGTCTCTGCTCGGAGGTCTGCGACATCAACAGAACACACGTGACCCAAACGGGCCTAATATTGTGATTGCTGATCCGACATGATCCAAACAGCCTCACTTCAATGGAAACTGTAGAATTTTATATTTTTGTACTACAGCTCTTTGTTCCACTGAGTAGTTTTAAAGGGCTTTATAAATAAAATGTAACTGGATCATATATAAGTCGTTTCAGAAGTTTCCTAACTGCCTGGTATCGGCGAGGCTTCCTCAGACTGTGAAACTGTTCAGGATTATTGGAGCGGTGAGGTACTGGTCTGAAAGATGTTTGAAGCATAAACAAAGAGTTGAACTCCGTTTCTTGTTTCCATACCAAGTTCTGTCAGACACTTAACGTCGTCACGTGTCTGTCCTGAACTGACATGATGGTTCCGTTTGTTTTGTGTTCTGATATTTACATACGCAGATATTTTTGTAACCACAGACAGTTGTTTTATTAGTTGTTCATCTCCACACAGTTTGATACAGTTAAAGTGTACAAAAAATAATACATTATTTTTTCCCTTTCCAGCAGGACCACCAAGAGTCCAGTCCAGCCCCAGAGCCCCTCCAGCAACAACAGGACGCTATGGGAACCAGAGTGCGGTCCAGGAGAGGCTCAGGGCCCGGAGGAGGAGGTGGTGGTGGCAGTGGAAGCAGCCCAGAGCAGAACGGGCAGCCCCCCGCCTCTCGTCCTGCTCGAGTGGTGGAGAACGAGGAGGATGAGGATGAAGAGATGACCCTTAAATATGGGGCCAAGCACGTCATCATGCTCTTTGTTCCTGTGACGCTCTGCATGGTGGTGGTTGTGGCGACCATAAAGTCTGTCAGTTTCTACACCCAGAATGACGGACAGAGACTGTGAGTGTTTTTGATCAAACCAGTAGTTACAAACAAGAACCAAGTGTTGAGCTTTAACCAGGGAGGGGTCTGCAGCCTGAAGCTCTGAGGTCCCATGTGGCCCTTCAGATCCTACGAAGTGGCTTCTTGTAACTTCAGCTAAAAATCACATGACCCCGAGTAACATTTAACGTTGAACTAATGATTGGATCGAGCACTTCAGCAGATTTTCCATCCAGATTTCTGCAGTTTACGTGTTAAAATATCTGCAGCAGAAAGACAGAAGTTCATTCCAGTGGCTTCGGCTGTACAGGAAAAATTATATAAAGGAGGGTTTCTAAACAGAGAAGTTTCCAAGTTGAACATTTCCCATAGCAATAGTACAAAAACCCCATAATGGTCACTAAATAACCTGAAACTGACTATAGTAAAGTTAAAAAAAAAAGACTTTACATCAAAAAATGAAAATCAGTCCTTGGTTTTCAGTTTAGTTTCAACAGGTTAAACAGCAGCTAAAATGAGAAAAGTAGAAACCAAAAGCTGCAGAACGGTAACTAAATGCTAAAAATAACAGAACAATAGCTTAAATTGGCTATGACTAAAGAGATGGTGTAACATCATACCAGTGTTTCCCCTACCATTTATACAAGTAGTGGCCCCGCCCAGTGAACTGGGACCCCCCTTCCCCCTAGTTGAGAACGTCCGGTACTGACGTAGCACTAACCTAGCAGCGCACAATACTAGCTAAAAAGCTACAGAGGTAGCGCTCTGTTTTCCTCACGCTGAGCCGCTTCCTTCACCTGACATCTGTCTGCACAGCTGTCAGACAGCAGCCGTTGATTGGCCAGCGGAGCTTCGTCACTGGATGACCCGCCCAGCAGAACTACAAACAAACATTTAAACGTTTAATTTTTGTAGTAGATTTAATATAAAATGGCTCCTCCAGTTAAAAAGGTTACAGACTCACTTTCTAGACCTGCAGTTCATCAAGTCTCCAGTAGGTGGAGGTAATGTCGCGTTAGCTCCATCATATCTGGTCTGAATGCTGAGGCAGAGCTCAGTTTTATGGTGACTGAGCTTATTCTGGCTCAATAAATCTAAACATTTTTAATCCTTGCTGCTCTCTGAAGGAATTGAACAATATTGAAAATGAGTGCCGAGCTCTTAATATGTAGGGCAGCTCAAAAAATAAAAGCACGTTCTATTTGTTGCTTCTTCCAGTTTTCTGCTGGTCCCAGTTACTGAATGTCTCTTTGTGTCGCCTCCTCCAGGATCTACACGCCGTTCCCTGAAGAAACGGATACAGTCGCCCAGCGAGCCGTCAACTCCATCCTGAACGCCACCATCATGATTACCGTCATCATCGTTATGACACTGGTGCTGGTGCTCTTATACAAGTACCGCTGCTACAAGGTACCGTACGCTTCACGGAACAAATACAACTGAAACTCCATTCATTTCAGTAATTCCATTCAAAACATGAAACTTGTCCTTAGATTCATCACAGATTTCCATATTTCAGGCTTTTCTTTCTGTTCATTTGATGCTCATGGCTTACAGCTGATGACGATCTAAAATTCAGTTTGTCAGGAAGTTAGAAAATTACATAAACCCAACAGATTAACAAGACCAGAGGTTTTACGCTGGATGCTCTTCCTGATGCAACCACCGAGCTACCACAGCCCTCTGTGTGGAGCAGAGAGCTGCCATCTAGGGCGCCCGGGGGAGCAGATGGTGGGAGTTAAGGGCCTTGCTCAAGGGCCCAGAGTGGGGCAAATGAGGGTGGAGGCAGGTGTTTCACCTTTCTCTACAACATTTTGATGTTGTCGGTCTGGGGAGTTGAACCAGCAACCTTCCGATCACAGGCACACCTTCTCTAACCTCTAAGAAGCTAAACAAGATGGTGATTTTTCCCCTAAGGAACATGAAGGGTCATAAAGTTGAGTTCAAACTTGTTTTCTATACTGACCTTTGTGGAAACTCACAAAGTGTTGATGGTTAAAACAAACTCACCACTTTAACCTTCTTTGTTTTCCTCAGGTGATCCAAGGCTGGCTCTTCCTCTCCTCCCTTCTCTTGCTCTTCTTCTTTTCCTACATCTACCTCAAGTAAGTCACACATCCCAACGTTTAAATCAGATTTTTACTAAATATGTCACGCTTTGCAGCTTCTCGTGATGTTTCCGTGTTTCCAGTTATATTTCTGTGCTTTACGTTAGAGAGGTTTTCAAAACCTACAATGTGGCCATGGACTACTTCACCCTGGCGTTGATCATTTGGAACTTTGGAGTGGTGGGCATGATATGCATTCACTGGAAGGGGCCTCTGCGGCTCCAGCAGGCCTACCTCATCATGATCAGTGCCCTGATGGCCCTGGTGTTCATCAAGTACCTGCCAGAGTGGACGGCCTGGCTCATATTAGCCGTCATATCTGTCTACGGTAAGCCCTCTAGTCTGAATTAAGAACAAACATGTTTTTTGTGGCTTTAAGATAAAAGCTTAGTGAATTCAGCCCCAAGAACTGCCTGACCTCCCTTTTGGTCTTGGTCTGACAGGCTGCAGTGGCCTCAGTCTTCTCCGTCTTAGGCTGCACACCTAGTGACCATTTTAAATCACTTGGTTAAAGGCTGAGCAGAGATTATCATGAGACTGCTTTTAGTGGACATTCCTCCACGAGATGTTAGGTGTGTTGACGTCGTAGTAGTGCAATGGGTGATGAGAAAACATGGGTCCACTTGCTCAGTACCACAACTTTGAACCAATGGATCACCTTTAATAGTTCATTTATCTCTACGTCTTTGCAGCACGATGCTGTCTGAATGTGAAATTTTTATTCTTCTCAGTATTTTAGACTCTTCTTGGTTTTCCTGATTCATGTTGCTTTTCTTGTCAGATCTGTTGGCGGTGCTCTGTCCTAAAGGGCCTCTGAGGATCCTTGTTGAGACGGCCCAGGAGAGAAACGAGCCCATCTTTCCAGCTCTTATCTACTCTTGTAAGACGGACACTGTTTGAAGCCCTTTATTACACATTTATAGACACTTAGAAATGGAATAAAACTGAGAAAGAGAACAATTTCTTAGCGTGAGGGAAACAAAGTGCTACCTCTGTAGCTTTTTAGCTAGCGCACGCCGCTACCAGCTCCAGTTAATCCCAGCACCCTTGTCTGTGTTTTTTTAAATTTATTTATGTTTTTACTTTTAAAGCTGCAACACTTTGTTGAACCTCTCTTCTCCTCCTCAGCTACGATGGTGTGGCTGGTGAACATGGCAGACTCTGACGGGCCAAAGAAGAACTCTTCAGCAGCAGGATCAGCCCAACAGGAGACACCAGAAGGTAAGCGAGGAGACGACAAACGTCCGACAGGTGGGAGTCCTTCGTCCCTCTGGGTTCTGACTGACTTCATTTATCAGTAGCTGTGGCGTCTCCAGCGCCTTTGAGTCCGTCCCAGGATAACGGCGGCTTCACGTCCTCCTGGGTCAGACAGCAGCAGCACCAGCTGGGCCCGCTTCAGTCCACTGACGAGACCAGACGAGAGATCCAACAGATGCCGTCTGCCCGTCCCCCAGTTGAAGACGACGATGAGGAGAGTGAGTGCCGAATACTCAATTAGTTTAAATGTTCTTTGAGTTGGGCTTTAATAGACACGACTGTTCAACGGATCAACCACTTGAACACTTGACTTTTTTATTATTTCTTGTACTTTGTTTTAGTCTTAACGATCATTTAATCTTATTAAAATGTCATGACACCATGTATACATTCTAGAGTTCACATCTAGACTCGTTGCATGTTCGGGTGTTCAAGTTCAAGTCTATTTTATGGTCATTTCCATCAAGTGTGGTACATGAGGTGGAATGAAATTATGTACACAGGGTCCCCGTTACTCCCAAAAATAGCAAAATATAAAGTATAAAAAGAAACAGTAAATAAGGATCTAATATATACGCTAAACAAACGCCAAACGGTACGCTAAAAGATCTAAGATGTACACTAAACACTAATGTAAAACAATACGGCGTAACAACAGCAGCCTGAACATGAGGCTGTGGTGAGCGGATGGGTATGAATGAATACAGGAGCATGAGATCAGCAGCATGAATAATCAGCAGCACAGATGAGTCCTATATCACCAATTAAAGTGGCATTACGGTGATTTATTTTATTCCTTACAGTGATTATCCTGGTTAGGGATTCATGAGTCTAACAGCCTCAGGGTAGAAGCTGTTCCTCAGTCTAGTAGTTCTTCACTTAATGCTCCTCAACCTCCTTCCTGAGGGGAGTGGGACAAAAAGTGTGTGTGCTGGGTGAGTGTGGTCCTTCATGATGCAGGTGGTTCTCTTCCTGCATCTAGAGGTGTAGATGTCTGTGATGGTGGGGAGACTGATTCCAACATCTTCTGTGCAGCCTCCATGCCACACGTTGATGCTGGAGCACAGGATGCTCTCCACTGCACACCTGTAGATGAGGGCTGAGCTCAGACCAGCTCGTCTCAGCCGCCTGAGGAAGTAGAGTCTCTGATGAGCTTTCTTGATCAGGCTGGTGGTGTTGTTGCCTCAGCTGAGGTTGTCGTTCAGACCTTTGGATTTTCACAGACATGCAGAACGCTGGTTGACAGAAAATGTTGGGGAAAGATCTTCTCGCATTATCTCCCTTACTCAAAAAGGAACCACACTTGACAGCAGGAGACGATTTTTATTTACTTGCATCTACCCATAACACCTTTTGAGATCGACCAGTAGATTGCGATCGATGTTTTGAGCACCCCTGCCCTAAACCAACACGATCTGTTGGTCTCTACATGTTCGTTCTGGGTTGTTGATGTTCTGAGCCTGAGTCCAGTTAGCGGAACGTGTAAAATCCCAGCTTGTTTGCTGCTTTTCTTCCTCTCACTGTAATCATCCTAGAGCGTCCTGCCCTCTGAACACATCTAACGTCTCCGCCGTGTTTTACAGCTTTCTGTTTCTGTGAAATTGTTGCGTTGCCTTCTTTAGTCAGAACAGATTAGGAAGCAATTATTTATGGCAATTGCTAGTTTTCCTGTCCCCAGCAGTTGGGGCTCCTGTGTTTTTAAATCTGCGGTAAATACGGGGCCGGAGCTCGTTTTTACAGTAATTACAGCTGGCTGAGCTGAAACTGCTCGTTGTGACTCCACCCTGACTGTGGCAACCTTCTGTGTTGTCAGGGGGCGTGAAGCTGGGGCTGGGAGACTTCATCTTCTACAGCATGCTGGTGGGGAAGGCCTCGGCCACAGCTGGCGGCGACTGGAACACCACGCTCGCCTGCTTCGTAGCCATCCTCATCGTGAGTGCAGCCACAGAAACCTTCTGTTTATCGTCACTGATGGAATATAATCACTAAATGTGTTTTGTGTGTTTGGACCTGCAGGGCTTATGTCTGACCCTCCTCCTCCTCGCCATCTTTAAGAAAGCTCTGCCCGCCCTCCCCATCTCCATTTTCTTCGGTTTGGTCTTTTACTTCGCCACAGGTAACTTGGTTCGTCCCTTCATGGATGAGCTGGCGCTACACCAGTTCTACATTTAGCAGGAACTTGCCCTGATGCTCACCTTCACAGTCCCTTCATGGCTGCGGCGTCCCCCCCTCGGAACGCCAGGACACGAATCGTTTTATTTTCTGGCACAAGGAGAGTGTTCCTCACAGCAACTGTTCTTACAGCTTTTATTTTCCTTTTCAACCAAGAAGTGACGTTTGTCACTCGGCGTGGACTCTGCCTGCAGCTCCATCCAGACTGAGCGGGAACACTTCCTCAGAGACCTTCAGATCTGGGAGCTTCCTGTTCAAACCAGTTCTCTCTGATGGGGGCTTGGACAAACACATCAACCGTTGACCATTAGACTCCAGTGTTGCTAATTTATTTTTGTTTTTCCAGGACGTTTTCACTTTATTCAAGCTAGTTTAGCTTTCCACTTTTAAATAATTTGACATGTAAATAAATGTACAATTCAAATTCAAACATGAACCGGCTGATTGTCTGCAGTCCCCCTCATTTATTTCTAGCAGCTGCTCAGCCGTCAGGGATAATTTCTCTACAGTACGTGTCAAACTTAAGGCCTGTGGGCCAAACACGGATCATCTTATCTGGTCCTCTAGGTGATGTTTTAAAAGCAAGATTTTTTTTATCAGCTCTCATTTTGCTTAAAAACTGAGCATGCTTGATTTTGTGCACTCTTCTCATGAGGTGGGCAACTTTGAAGTCCAAACAAAATTTAAAATTTCAGTCACTTTTCATTTTGATACGGACAAAGCAACAGAGATCACCCAAATGTGACCTATCAAAGTCTTGTTAAAGAACCTGCAACCCAGACAAGGTGTCTGGTTAATGTCTTGATTGAATATGTGGTCCTTGGTTTGGATCAAGTTTTTAATTTTGGCCCCGTTTTGTAACTGAGTTTGACACCTACTGCTCTTCAAAAGGTCTGAACTGATTTGTTTAAGTTGGCAACAATTTTTGTAAGAAAAAAGTTTAATTAAAAACATTTGCTGCAGGGTAAGCAGAATAAGAGAAGAAAACCCGTCACCTTGGTGTTTCTTAAATCAACTTCTTACTAGCTCTAAATTTGAAATATGAACTTTATCGTTTTATGATCAACCATCAAATAAATTACCTGACAAAGAAGCAGCTGTTAAACACAAACAGCCCTGCAAATTTAACCACCACACTTTTTTCATTCTAACAAAATTAAGTCAGGTCCTCTGGACAGATTAAAAAAAAAAATTGTTGAAACGTTTCATCTTTTATCCAGAAGACTTCTTCAGTCTGAGGAGCTGCAACAAACCTAGTCTTATAAACAGCACCTTCTCATGGGGAATCACCAGTTTGACGTTGACATCCAGAACTATCTGTTCACATGATCAAGGAGGACCATCAGCCTAACAATTGCTCATTAGTGACCTAACAGTTGATCGTTAGTGCCCTAACAGTTGATCTTTGGTGCCCTAACAATTGATCGTTGGTGCCCTAACAGTTGATCATTGGTGCCCTAACAGTTGATCGTTGGTGCCCTAACAGTTGATCGTTG